TCCTCTTCCAATGCCCAGTTTTACCACAATGATAACATTCATGATTAGACTGAGAACTAACCTTCTCTTTGTTCTTTCCTTTGTTGTTATTTGCCTTCTTGTTGGGTTTATTGGGAACCTTTCCCTTCCCCTTCCTTTTGTTAGACTTTAAAGCCTTTGATCCAGAAGAGGATCCAACAATAAGCACCGGCTTATCCTTTTTGATTGTGGATTCAGCCGTGTTTAACATGTTCACTAATTCTGGCAGAGAAGTCTCCATATTATGCATGTTAAAGTTAACAACAAAGCTATCAAATGACGATGGCAGAGATTGCAGCATGAGATCCACATAGAGTTCATTATCCATAATGACTCCAAGGGACGAAAGCCTTTCAACAAGAGCTATCATCTTCAGCCCATGATCATGAACTGAAGAGCCCTCAGTCATACGACACCTGAAAAGCTCTTTAGATATCTGATATCTAATTTGCCGCGTCCTATCACCATACAACTGTTGTAGATGAAGGAGGATTTCAGAAGCATTATTCAACCATTCGTTCTGTCTCTGTAACTCATTTGACATTGATGCTAATATGTAGCACCGAGCTTGGAGATTGTCATCAGTATGACGTAAGTATTCTCCATACTCATCAGATGTCTGATCCTCGGGTGGGGGAGGAGGGGCTTTGTCCAATACATAGTCCCTTTTTTCAGACTGTAGAACAATTTTCAGGTTCCGCAACCAATCATTAAAATTGGGTCCAGTTAATTTGTTTTGTTCAAGGATACTTGCAATTGGATTCTTTGCCATTTTAGTAGAGTGATCTACAAAAACAAACGAAGCAGAAAATAATCAGACTATAGAATTTATATTAATTTAATATTAGGTCTTTAACATTAAATGTCTCCCACTATTTTAATTAAAACCCCTATTTTAATTATGAAAATCTAATTTTTCATAGTGGGCTTGAAGTCCAATAAAAATATTTCATATCCCAATTTTATGAGTACGCATGAAACATTTATATCGGCAGTCAACTTTTGACAATTGTATCATTATACAACCTTCAAGTTGTTTTGCCTCACT